TTGCTATCAAAGTGTGACTTGTGCCGTGAGTTTTACCGTACAATGATGGAGTTTTACCGAGAAATCATTTCTTTTGCCCTGCAATATTTGAGTTTTTTTTTTTCCGCATAGTAATAAAGCTTTGCCGTGGTAAATTAAACATTAGAATGTCGGTCCAGCAACAGTCACTGTTGCATAGCAACCAATCTGTGGTATAATTGGGGCAAGGGCAGGTTAGTGAAAGGAATATACGTTTTTATATGACATGAAATTCCACGTTTCTGAAAGCATGTTGGTAAAGATTGTTTGAAGATTCTTATTAATTGCATAATTATTTATTGTTGAATATTCGAAATGTAAATTCGAAATGAAAATTAAAGGTTGAATTCCACAGAGATCAATATAATACATTTCTTTTTTTCAGTAATGTTTGTATTATTTTATAAGACTATAACAGGCTGAAGTTTTCAGAAGATTTTGATCTGTTGACATGTATGCTACAAGTAGTGTCAGAAGTCATATTTTCACTGCATGTTAAATGGAGGGCACTTACATAAACAATGAACTGATAACGTCAACATACATCAACGCGACTGCAGATCGCGACTTCAGATGTAAATACAATGTACAGTCATTCAGTTACTGTATACTGTGGAACACTTTGTTTTCGCTGGAATTAATTTTCGCTGAAAAGGCATTTTGAGCGTTCTTTGTGGAATTTATTTTCACTGATTTTTGATGAGTTGAATGTGAAATATAGGAAAACAAGTATATTCGCTGGATTTTATTTTCACTGAATCCTCCCTTCAGCGAAAATAAATTCCAAGCGAAAATGAAGTATTCTACAGTATATTACAGAAATTATGTGTATTTCCGAAACCAGTATTACGGGGCCCAGTCTGTTGCCAGACTATTGTAGTGCGAGCGCTTATTGAACACAAAATTCGTTTTAAAAAAAAATAAAAAATAATAATTATCAGTAACAAAATGCTCATAGTACACGATAGTTGATCTCAGTGGGCTCCATTGTGGGCTTTTTAAGTTTATTCAATCTGCAAACAGCAGCATGTCATTTGTTTCGGTGTGTGTGGTCGTTGTGTAGTCCAAGAAGCTAAAAAGAACGATGTGGCTATGTTTGGGCATGGCATTCACGTCAACATACATAAACACGACCGCTGGTCACGACTGCAGATTAAAATACAACGTTATGTATAAAGACGCCCCTGTTTTCACTGCAGTAGTCAACAAGTAACTCGCTGTCTGACCGCGATATGTCACTGACCTGTCAGT